TTTTCGATAGCTTTTAACCGTGCTTAAGGAAAGATTATAATTTATAATCGTATCTAAAGTATGATGTCAATGAATCCAATAGATCCTAATGAATTGTAAAAAAGCTAAGATTTTAAAGGATCGCCGTCTTTACGAGGAGGCATCATGAATAAATTATTTAACGGAAGATGCCTCATAATATCGACAAGTCTATTCTGAATATATGAATTCATCACATATCGTGAAGAGATTTACGATAAGGTTTAGTGGTCTGAATGAAAATTTCATAACTATTGTAGTTCGATCAAAATTCCTATCGAACTTCATGATTTTATGAAATTGGCAGTATTTTTCTAAATATCCCAGTAAAAGTGTCTATGCCGGCGCGGAGTGCCGGCTTCAGCGAGAAAGTCTTGTGCGATTCTCACACCATGATGGGGCGGGCGAAGCCCCTCTATATGCCGGCGCGAAGCGCCGGTACGCGGCGGTCGCGCCGCGTACCGGAGGCAAATTTTTTTTCATCATAGCGTTGACGCAGTGAATCAAATTAAAGAGAATGTTTAATGTTGTTTGTTAAAGAAAATATTAACTGTTTCTAAAACCAATTTTCACGAGAGTGCTGATTAGTTCAAGAAAGGGAACACATCTTTTGGTTCTTCCCATAAGTCCATATGTCCATAAGTATTGGAGGGTTAGAACTACAGTATCTTTATGAACAGAGTATGTCCATTGAAGGATCCATTCGTGAATGGCTCAGCCATCTTCGGTTTTACAGAGCTTTTAGGATCCAAAAAATGGATCACATTCAGACTATTCCCAGGTGCAGATTATAAGGTTTCATTTGCCTATATGACCATGAAATTTACTCAAATCCCGAAGATGGACACATTTACTCAGTTTTAAATCCAATTTTGTTCATTACATTGGAAAACGTCTTTTTAACTTGAGCCTTAACTATAGCAAGGTTGGTAACAGGTGGAGTAGGTGATATACGCTAAAGGTTGGCAACAACCCTATCTCGCCCGCTCTCACCTAGAGTTGCTGTTATTTCTTTAGATCTAAAGAGCTCCATGTGACCCAGTGTCCTCATTCTCTCTATGAAGGTACTCCAGTTAGAGTCCTGCAAAACTAATCCACACAGGTGACACAGGCAAAGAGTATAGAACCTTCTGTGCTCTCTGGACACAGGTCAGTCATTGCGCATCTTTTAGGAATCCACTTTCCACAGCCAAAGTGACATCAGACAGGCTGCTCTCACAAGAAATACATTGCATTTAAATTTTCCGCCGCATTCTGCAGTAGGGTTTCAAAATTCGTCCAAAGGAATGACTAACCTGTGTGGATTGATCTGGGAGCCCTGTCTCTGAGGGAGAAATTTGAAACAGAAGTTTTAGCCGCTAGAACAAGAAGTTGGCTACATAGACACAAGACAGCGCGCTAACATCTGCAGCTCATTCATTGATCAGCGATGAGGCGGTCCGTGAAAATAATCAATGCCGCTTCGCTTAACAGTTGAATGAAAACTTGGCAATTTTCTTGCCGCGTAGCTACTTTCAGCCGCCAAAATGGATTCGCAATGTTTCTATACCAGAGAAGGATTTTATTAAACATCATATTCGGTTTCTACAACCCAAAAAACAAAGGGATTGATACTGCACATGACATGGTAAAGAAATTTCAAAATTAGGGACTGTCCAGCTGCCGCCATTTTATTTTAGGGCTCTAAGCGCATCTTGCGCCGTTTCCAAGGTTATCATTATCCAAATTCAGATTCTAGACATCATAACGAAGAGACTAATACCATACATCGACTTTCTCCAGAATGGAACACACAGATAGACATTGAATATAGACATTGAACGTTGTAGTACCTAAAATTGCATGAATGACCAGAAATCACCACAAATGACCAAGTTTGACTATGAATATGCAGGTATAGCTTAAGCAACCAGAGCTATCCATAAATGAAGGAAAATTTCCAGAGTCATCAGTTTTATCAAAAAATTACCAGATAAGACAAAGTAACCGTAAATCTTTCAGAATGACCATAATTTACCAGAAAACACTAAATTGTTCCATATCACACTTTCCATACCAAAGTAAAGGTCAGTGTTTAATTCCAAACTTATATTTTATCGCTTTTACCGATGAACATTTAATTGAATACTTCCTTAGAATGTCGTATCACATTAAAATCTCTGGAACTTTTCCCTCTCACTTTAAATGTCCTAAAAAGCCAATAACATAGTCATACATCATTTTATGGGTTCTACAGAGGTTGAACCAGACCTACCTTTTTTTTCTTGGATTCATTGATTTACATTTCATCAGAAACCTACAGCAATTTCTGGTTACTAATCCGAGTTAATTGCATGTAGAAGGGGTATTCGTACAGTAAGTTAATATTTGTCATATTTTCTAAACTAATAAAGATAATTCAAATTTGTAAAAAGTTTGTGAATTGTCATACTCTCAGCTTTCTAAAAAATTTCAGTTTTTTAAATTTGGTCTTCTGAGTGCCGAGTGACATCAGTTTTCCTACACCCGTCTCTCACCGCTGCGTGTCCAAAATTTACGCGCGTCTTTAGGGGTGCTTAATGAGCGTTACTCATTTATTTCTTAGAAAGAAGTACAAACATTGATGCAAACAGAAACTGTGATGTCATGAAAAAGCTCTAATCAGCTGGCAAAAGAAAATACCTTGGTCTTCTGTCTCGTCGAGTGATGCTGCTTCATGACAATGCTAGGCCCCATACAGCTCATGTGACCAATCAGTTGTTGACCTCCTTAAAATGAGACCTTTCCCACATCCTCCTTATTCTCAGGATCTCATCCCACGTGATGAATCACTTATTACCTGAGCTAGAGAAGAGTTTTGGCGAAAAGAGTTCCGTGGACGACGATGAGGTGAAAGAAGCTGTACTAAAGTGGTTGCAAAAACAGAATCGCCAGTTTTACGCTGATGGAATAAAAAAGCTCTTGTCATGGTATGTAAAATGTGTCCAACAAGATGGGGTTTATGTGGAAAAGTAAAGCCAGGTCTTCACAAACATGGAAATTTTAAATTTTAAAAAAAAATTGCATTTTGACAATTTGCAGGATGAAGCCGCATGCTACCGTCCTGTGACCCCCCCAGCGCGCGTAAATTTTGGACTCACTGTGGTGAGAGACGGGTGTGGGAAAACTGATGTCACTCGGCATTCAGAAGACCAAAATTAAAAAACTGAAACTTTTTAGAAAGCTGAGAGTATGAGAATTCACAAACTTTTTACGAATTTAAATTATTTTTATTAGTTTAGAAGATATGACAAAATTAACTTACTTTACGAATACCCCTCGCACCTACTCTGATGGTCATGCGAACTTGAGGAGGGATGAATCCAACATCCGATACTCATTGAAACTGTTTTTTTCTGGCCTCTTTATGAGCCAGTAAAGAATGAATATCTGAGCATACTGTGAAATAGAAGAGCATCCCCTATTTTTAGATTGTATTCAACTCAGATTTGCACTGACATAAAATTTTATCAAAGACATGTAGATATTAAGTACCTAAATAGCAATAAAAGTATTTAGTACATATTACTAATAATGAATTGCAAGTGACACCTCTGTGTGATCCGTAGAGAGCAGATATATCCATACAACACAGACTCTCCTTTACTCGTACAGACAGATTACAGACTAAAACAATATGGGAAAACACTTTGTCTGTCTTAAAAAGTTAGTGCACGTGACGCCACAGAGTGACGCACCCTAGTAGCACAAAGACGTAAAATTTACCAAAAAAAAATTCGTAAAAAAAGACGTAAAATAGACCAAAAATGAAATGCCGATGTAGTCTTTTTTACAAGAATAATTCGTAAAGAGAACAAGATTTTTTACGTAAAAAGGTCGAGTTTCTTTACATAAAAAGTTATGCGCAAAAAAACTCTTGCTTCCTTAAATTGATTAAAATGATAAATCGTAAAGAAAAAATTGACTTTTTACCTATCTAAATCTGTAGTCAATTAATTCTCCTTGAGATCAACTTTCAAATTATTATCTACCTGTCGGGAATTGAACCTGGGACCTGCCTATCAGGAATCGAATGCGCCACTTACTGAGCAAACGAGGCTTCTGTGTTAGAGGGGCGAATTTGCGCTGTATAAGTGAATATTTTTATTGTTGAATATGCGTGAGAACGAATTGCGGAATATTTTTTGAATTTGGAAAAACTGGATAAGGGCAAAAACTAATATTTATCATGGATATTTTAAAAATGGTATACCTACTTTCAAAAGTACCTTTGTTGTTCAGGAATATGTGAAACAAATTATGTACATTTTAATAATATGTCCCCCTTTTTTCTTTTTCTTTTCTTAAATATTTTTAACATGCATCAATTTTTTATAAGAATTTCTTAACTATATCAATAAAGATAAGTTATTAAAATCTTCTCGAACTTTTAAAAACTCTGGCTTATTCGTTCAGAACAATGTGTTTTTGTATCCAGTTTTCGGGCTATACTTTTTTTACAAACAATCTTTAGGGGACATTAGAATTTTTTGCTTAAATTCCTTGTCATAAAAACTACAGAGGTATTTCCTGTTCGGTCAATTCAGCGAATTTTCCGTTCAGACATTTTTTTTCCTGATTTTCGATACGTAAAAAATCGCGAATTTTTTACGCACAGATTTCAGTTCAATCCCCCAGTTTTTTTTACGTCTTTGATCACAAATTTTTTACGTTAAGTGCTCAGACTCTGATTTTTTACGAGTTCTTTTACGTACATCTTTCGTACTCGTAAAATTTACCAGTTTTAATTTTTTTTTCACGAATTATATTACAAGATGTGTAACTAGGGCAGCAGCAAAGGCTTCCAAGAGCATAGCCGAAGAGCTTATGGACTTCCCCTAAGGCGCACCCAGGACTTCTGTTATTAAGTTACTAGATGCGTAGTTTAAAAATTCCTAGAGATAACCTTGGCAAAATGCAATTTCTGGGAGATTGATTGATCACAAAACAAAAAACAATGTTACCTTTGTTGTTGGGAAAAAATTTTAGGTTTGTAACAGATGTGTATGGTACTGTTTGATGAAGGACAGGCGTAGCACTGTGTTGTAAGTAGTATGCAATGCTGCGGTTGCCCATCCGCCTCTGCAGTTCCTCCAAGCGCTGAGAAAAAATATAAAAAAATGGTTAAAAAACATGTATATGTAAACATACATCAGAGCCACTTGTTCGGCGCTCTTTGACGCTTAGCGGCACCCAACTGCCACAGACCCCTATCTTTCCCAAGTCCCTCTAGGCGCTGGCATTTCCTCATTTCTTGTTCACCTCTGTGCCGCCACCCTTTCTCTGGGCGTCCTCTTCTTCTCCTCCCGGAAGGAACCCAACGGATCATTTTTTTTGGCCTCCTTTCTTCCGTTATTCTGCTAACAAACCTATATCAGGATGTGTCCAAATAAGCTTTCATTTAGCTGTGGTCGCTTTTCCCCCCCATTACATCATGTAAAAATGAAATGGTATGTTTTCAAATTGCTTGCTTTGGGTCCGTTCAATCCTTCCAAAAAAACAAAAATATGATTTTTGTACAAAATTTCGGCCCAATCCAAAAAATGTCACTAATTACCAAAAAAAGAAGAAAAAAAAAAAAAACCAGGCACCCAAAAATATGATGGCAGTACCGTTTGGATTCATCGTTTAAAAGGAAATGATATCAAAACGGCCCAATTTTCTCTTTCATGCCCATGCAATATACCATACACCCCAACGTTTTTCACAAAAAAAAAAATTAAATACCTATAAGGTATGATGACCTAAACTCGTTTATTTGATCCATCGCTTAAAAGGAGTGTGATATCAAATCAGCCCAACTTCTCTGAAATGTATCCATCTCTGATCAATAACTTTGTTGAAGCCTTCAGACTCATCGCTGAGGAGACACTGATCATAACTTGACTCTTAGTATATGTCCTTGTTTAGATGCCAAAGAGGTCCTTATGAGAACTGTAATGAATTTTTTTCTTTAAAGAGATAAAAAACAAAAAACCGCCATACAATTGAGGAAAAATTCGAAGAAAAAAAAAGGAATGGGCCGGCCGGCCGTACATACAAGTGGTAGATAGTAGGGTGATTATCGTCTCTCTTGCATATACATGAACAATTGTATCATCGTCAAAAGGAGGATCAGTCCTTCTTGAAATCATCATTGAAAGATAGACTTAAAGATATTCACACATGAGTGAACAACTTAACAACTTTCAAGCCATGCCATATTCCTTGTTTGTTTCTGATAGAACGCCTTACAAACTACTGAACCTTGGCGTAATATTGCGAATATTATGTGCCTCCTAAGTCCTACTTAAAATGCTTCTCTCTTAACAACTTCATGGATAGTGGCAAGACCGGGTCGGTCACCCATGCCAAAATGTTGGGGCATACCAATACATCTATTTTTCCCCGCTTTTTTTGTACGTGTCGGCCGGCCCATTCCTTTTTTTTTCTTCGAATTTTTCTTCAATTATATGGCGGTTGTTTGTTTTTTATATCTTTAAAGAAAAAAAATTCATTACAGTTCTTATAAGGACCTCTTTGGCATCGAAACAAGGACATATACTAAGAGTCAAGTAATGATCAGTGTCTCCTCAGCGATGAGTCTGAAGGCCTCGACAAAGTTATTGATCAGAGATGGATACATTTCAGAGAAGTTGGGCTGATTTGATATCATACTCCTTGTAAGCGATGGATCAAATAAACGAGTTCAGGTCATCATACCTTAAAGGTATTTATTTATTAATTTTTTTTTTTTTTTTTTTGAAAAACGTTGGGGTGTATGGTATATTGCATGGGCATGAAAGAGAAAATTGGGTCGTTTTGATATCATTTCCTTTTAAACGATGAATCCAAACGGTACTGCCATCATATATTTGGGTGCCTGGTTTTTTTTTTCTTTTTTTGGTAATTAGTGACATTTTTTGGATTGGGCCGAAATTTTGTACAAAAATCATATTTTTGTTTTTTTGGAAGGATATCACGTATTTTTGGTATGACTTCTACGAAGTATCAGGCAAAGAGAGTTCCCATTTTAAATTTAAAAGTTGTTCCCGGGCGCGAGGCAAAGAGGTAACGCCCCCCCCCCCCCTCCCACTCGAAAGCGGCCCACCTTTTTTGAAGGAAGTTTCGTTCGAACCGCAGGTCAATTATCTGTAATCGTTTTCGAGACATCAATAAGACGGATCCATATTTTTGGCACACCCTGTACGTCACAGAAAAAAAACCGCAGGTCAATATTAAAATCGTGACAAAGTTGGGTCACTTGACGTAATGCCTAATTCTCATTGGCTACGCAGAGAGATTGGCGTAGATAGAGGTTAGGTTATTGTTTTGTTCGGAAATTTTGGATCGGATTTGAGCAGTAGCATTGCAATTTCAATTTCTCCTGGCTTCTGTCTCTTTTTCTTTGTCATATTATTTCTGAAATTAATAACAATATAACTGCTGGAATGGTTTTCTCATTGTACGCGCGAAACGTTTTCAATTTTATGCTGCCCTGAGGAACAATGCTCCCAAATGTGACTATTCTTAATTTTTCATAAATCATGAATCATCAAATATCTTTGTGAATCATGAATCCCTCTCTCTCTAGGTACCCTTTTCGTTGTGAGTTTTCTTTTATGATTCTCTGATTACTGAGGGCACGATGTGCCTGAAACGAAAAGATGCTACTTAGTTTGTTTCCTATGTGCATTCCTATCCAGACAACATATAAAATCATCTTGGTACTTACGTTAAATCTTCCCGTGCATAAGGAAATGGTATAAAATAAAATTTAGTTGTGATGACTTAAATATTTTCAACTGCACGCCGATTATTGAAACTATGTTAGTACGACAAGGCAAGACAGCCTTATCTTAACCGTGCAATATATCGCATTTCGATGTCTTATTAGACTTTAAACTTTCAATAATCGGCCTGCTGCAATGAAACTTTATGATAACTTTCATCATTATGATTCTCCTTTTGCCCATTCCGGTCAACGGAGTCCACATAGACCAATCGATTTTAAACGCGCAACAGGGTGAAAGGGAGGGTGCCAGTTTAGCTCATAATGGGTTTACTTTCAATGATAAAAGTGGGTGAATGTGTCAGGCAAGAACCCTGATAATCAACAACTTCAGAGCTGCTTTTAATATAGTACTTTTACGTAATGTTCCTTCTCCTGTGTACATTAGGCACAAAACCAGGATTTACAGCAGAGACATCACCTGTGTTCAGGGATAATTTTTGTATCTGCCGATGCTGGTCATACGGAGTCAACAGCGATTGAGTTTCAATGCGTTACCTATCAGGGTACGATGGAGAATACCATTTTAATTCTTGGTTTTACTTTCAATAACATTTCATTTTTATGAGCCTGTATCTGCCGATTCTGGTCATGCAGAGTCGGCAGCGATTGAGTTTCAACACGCTATCAGGGTAAAACGGAGAATACAATTTTGATTCTTGGTTTTACTTTCAAGGATGGAAAAAAACAGTCCATTTTCTGTCACACTCGGCATGAACTTCTCAGCTAAGGACTCAAATAGAGGACAACTTAGGAGCCACTTGGCATGTATGATTCTTCTGTATTGGTCCGTCCCTTTCGCACGGTAGACCGAGAACCAGAGGTTAAAGTAAAACCATCACCTATACTCAAGGCTTAATTTTATATTCTACGCTATGTGATCCCTCTCATATGATTCTATCGAGCGAATGATTCTGCCAGTAAGTTAATTACGTAGAGCACCATTATATCTATGCTGGGAATTGCCAGGAAGATCCTGCAACCATCCGATTCAGGTAACTCGCACATCAATACAGGGCAGGCAAAGTAAGTAGGTATCAATATTTTCTGTTTTATGAGAGATTTCTAACTCGGGGATTCACTGCCCACTCTCCATCAAAGAAGATGCTCTGTTGATGTTGTTGCAGCCCAAAATATTAATCACAACTAATATTTTTTGTCGCCTCAGTCTCAATCGATAACTTACATTATTCTGCCAGTTCTGGTCATCCAAATTCCTTATCTTATGAGTTTTAATGCACTTTCAGGGTGTACCAGAGAATTAATTCTTTGATCCATTTTCCTTTCTAAATGAAACAGCTAATTTTCTGTCGCACTCTCTTAGTGGGTAAATTAGTCAGGCGAGGACTCAGATAATCTAGAGATCAGGAAGCACTGATGTTTTATATTGAACAGCCGCTCTGTAATATCTCCTATATGTAGTAGGCAATGGCGGCAAGTTTACGTCTCCAGGTACTGCAAATTTTAGCCGATGTATAGAGAGGTTATCACCAAGGATATCCTGCATCAGTTAGCATCTCAATTTTATCAAACCAATGAAATAGTAGCATATAGATACATACCTTCTGCAGAGGTCAATATGAAAGACCTTGATTTGAAGAATTTTATCCAAATACAGGCAAATTAGACGATTCAATCAACTTCTGACACAGAATCGAGGAGACTTGCTAATAATCAAATTGACAGTAATGTTTGAAGTCAAGTATCTTCGATTTTGTGGCATTGAGTTGGTTTCATTATACTCGTTCAACAAAGGGCAACAACGGAGTGAAGCATAGCTTCTTTAAGTAGACACATACGCAAAACTGACGGGTGAATGTGAAAGCCAGTTTTCCAATATAAAGCATTACAAGTCTACAGAAATATTGAGGCTTTACGCACCAGTAGCATGATACACTGAGAAGAGACACACCAACTCCAGAGGAGTTCGGCTGCTAGCAAAATTTTAGGAGAAAGTGGAAACGCAACTTCATCCCCACAGATCGAGACCCCAACAGACATCATCATATTGAGAGGAAGGATGATTTTTTGGTGGAAAGTTGCTGAATCTGATTAACGAGAAATAGTATCTAGGACTCACTATAGTGGAATATCATCGGTCATTCATGATCAATTACTTGAAAAGATCACTAGATCAGGGTAGATCAGGACCGCTGGGAAGAAATAACAGGTTGCGATCTGAGTACTTACTGTAACAACTAAATTTATCAAGGGTGCGGGAATCATAAAAGGATCATATAGAAATGGATCCAGTTGTCTTCGGCTTTGATAAAATAGAAACACGCATCGATTAATCTATCTTATAGACGCAATTAGTGCAACGTCACAG